AAGATGAACCAAAGTGTAAGTCCACTACTTAGTGGGAAGGAGAGTTAAGAATGGTTGACATCAAAGAAAGCTGAGGTGTTTATGCCTATTTTACTTCAAGTATCAGGGGGTAGCCGTGTTAGTCTGTATCCACAAAAACAACAAGGAGTCCGGTGACACCTTAAAGACTAACAGATTTATTTGGGCATAAGCTTTCGTGGGTAAAAAACCTCACTTATTTGGGCATAAGCTTTCATGTATCTGAAGAAATCTGTTAGTCTTTAAGGTGTCACCGGACTCCTTGTTGTTTTTGTGGATACAGACTAACACGGCTACCCCCTGATACTTGAAGTAAAATAGGCTTAAACACCTCAGCTTTCTTTGATGTCATCCATTCTTAACTCTCCTTCCCACTAAGTAGTGGACTTACACTTTGGTTCATCTTTTTCTCACTCCTAACGTACTTATAGAACCTCTTCTTATTGCCTTTTATGTCCCTTGCTAGGTGTAACTCATTTTGTGCCTTAGCCTTTCTGATTATGTCCCTCGGTGCTTGCAATGTTCTTCTGTACTCCTCCTTATCAACTCATCCACTTTCCACTTTTTGTAGGATTCCTTTTTGATTTTCAGGTTATTAAAGAGCTCCTGATAAAAATCACATTGACTTCTTCCTATTCTTCCTATCTTCCCTTTGCATCAGGATAGTTTGCAGTTGTGCCTTTCATATTGCCTCCCTGAGAAACTCCCAGCTCTCCTGAATTCCTCTTACCCTTAGATTTTCTTCCCACTGAACCTTACATACCATTTCTCTAAGTTTGTCAAAATCTGCGTTTTTGAAGTCCATTGTCCTTATTCTGTTGCTCCCGTCTTTCCTTTCCTTAGAATCGGGACATCTATCATTTCATGAGCACTTTCACCCAAATTGCCTTCCACCTTGGGATTTGCAACCAATTCCTCCCTGTTGGTGAAGCCTCCAGGGTCAGGATGCCAAGATTCATGATGGCTAATCCTTATCACCCTGAGCTGGCAGGATGTAACAAGGACTCTAACTGCTCAAGCTGAATTTTTGGAGATATTGAGGGAAGTTCAGGGAAGCTTCAGGTTTTCATCCCTCCATTCTTAAGATGGACCCAATTCTCTCCTTTCTACTTGAATATTTAGGCTGACTTTGGTTTGGAAAGACCAAATCAAATACCATAGCTTTCAGCAGATTGCTATCACTGTCCCTTTCCTTGAAAATAAACATCTCTGCTTTGACTTCATGTTTATTTATCTGATGCAGCAGTGCCATTTCTCCACTTCCCTACCTCATATAATTATACATGTTTATACTGAGCTGGTTGAAAGTGATTTGCTCTTCTCCAGGTATGCTTTTCTTCTTTCAGTCATGAGAGGAAAAAAGATTACCATGGAAACTACTTTTTAAAGATTTCCCCACTTGTGTTGCAAAGAACCACCTTTGTTTAATTTAAATGAAGAAAACTGTCCCCCCCAGTACATTCTCTCTACTTTGGGCATTTTAACAAAGGATCATTCATACCATACTAGAGATGTAATAGTGATTTTATCCAAAGCACTTTACAAAAATTAATTTATGAAGCCTAGAAGAACCCCTGTAAGGTAGCTATGTATTATTCCCATTTTAGAGATGAGTAAATGGAGGCACACAGAGGTCACGTAACCTACTCATGGCTACATGGAGAGTCATTAACTCTCTTGAGAACAGCAGTCAGGAGCTGTAACCTCCACCTACCGTTCTAGCCAATAAACCACACTTAAAACAATACTGGTTGCATTACCCTAAAACAATGTTCTATTTAATGAATACCCTCTCTTAAATGATCAGTGTCAATGAGAAAGAACTGCCATTTTGCAACATGGGGGGCTCATGTTTCCCAACTTGAGTGTTTAGCTCTTTCAAAGTGTAATGGCTACGGCTCTAATGCAGCAAATATACAACTAAAATCAGAATTTCCATTTCTGTAACTGGTCTTTAAATTAGTACAGTTCATTAAAAAACAAATATTGATACTTATTTTTAACAGCAAGAGAGTTTTTGGAAATCCTATATAACAGCCCTGTGAGTAAAATTCACTGCAGATCAAGTCCACACAAGGATTCACAATACCTCTTAATGTATGGTTCTCAATAATGTCACTTTTTATAGAAACATCAGGGTGCGTAAATGTCAAATCTTGGGGTTTATCCCCTCCCTCAAAGCTTTACTTCTGTTTTATATTTGATATTTAGTGGCCCCTCCCAAGTGACCCTCTCTCTTTTCTTCCAGTCTGTAGACAGAACTCTCACCAGGTAGATTCTTACATTGTAACTAAAGGAAGGGCAAACTGGGACAGCAGCATCTGCCTAAAAAGGCTGCAGTAGCCTTAAGACAACTAGGGGAGGGAAAAAATGTGCACTTGCGTCCCTCTCATATACACCCTAAAAAGAGCATCTGGTGCAGTTCAGTGAAGGAACAGCCCAAAAAAGGGGCAGTAGTAGGCGAACTGGAAAGAAGCATCTGTGCCAACTGTCTCCAAGAATAAATGGCTTATTCACAATAATTCTCTTCTTCCCAAATAAACATATCACACATCAGCCAATTTACAGAATCTCATTGCTCAGATTCACATGTTGAAAACCACAAAGTATAATATATCAACTTACCAAAGTTTGTTGTAGGCATCTAGATATTCTGGCTTTACATTGTGAACTGAAACAACAAAATTCAAGGATAAATGTAGTAGCAAAAATAAAATAAGATAAAAGGAAATGTTAAATATAAAAATATCACCCACACTGTATTTTATACAGACTGCTGGTCTCCTTTTTGGCTAGTAGATTGGAGTGAGCATCTTTCCTTGGATCCACTTTGCGAACAAAGAGTGATTTTAACCAGCTGTCTTCACCTGCTCTGTTAGTTGATGATGCCAGCCCCCTACACATCAATGAATACATTACATTGTCACTGAATGTTTATTAAGAATGCACAGACAGGAAGAAAGTCAGTCAAGTTCAAGTTTAACATAATATAGCAATGTATACAGAGGAACGATGCTAAATCTTCCCATTACTTCACTCTCCAGCAGTGTCAAGGTACAATGTTTACCCAGCAAGGTATGCACCTATTGAAAAGACTTCCTGGGATGACACAGAACTGGTGCAGCTATACTACCCCCTTGTGCTGAGGAAGGGCACGGATAGAATGCTTCTGTGTTCCAGCAAGTCCCAGCTGATGCAACACACTCAGGAGCCATTGCAGTCAAGCATATGGTAAGTAGTTTTGCTGCTGCTCGAAGGTCTTGTCTACACTGCCACTTTACAGCGCTGCAACTTTCGCGCTCAGGGGTGTGAAAAAACACCCCCTTGAGCTCTGCAAGTTTCAGTGCTGTAAAGTGGCAGTGTAGACAATGCACCAACACTGGGCGCTACTCACCTCGTAGGGGTGGGTTTTTTTAACAGTGCTTGGAGACCTCTCTCCCAACGCTGGAGCCGCGACTACACAGCTACGTTAAAGTGCTGTCGCGGCAGCACTTTTTGCTAGTAAAGACATACCCTAATTTATATCAGGTTTTAAGCCAACCCCAAAACACTGTGAGGCATAAAACCACTTTTGCTTCCCTGCCCTGCTCCTGCATTGATTAGAGCTCTGTAAGAGCAGAGAATGGAAGCCACTAGATACAGTATATATATTTTTTAAACTCTCTTTGCTCAAGCAAGATATCTACATCCTCCCAGAAACTTGAGGTCAAAAATGAACACCCTAGTGCATGTGCATGAGAAAAGAGTGTGCAAACACTGCTTTGTTTACTGTGAATGGCACAGTAAATACCACGTGTTCCTGTGTTTACTGAAATAGATTTCAAGAAAGCATCATGGAAGAGAAGATATACAGGTTACAGCATACTCTACTTTGGGAATAGATTAGAGTGGCAGACATCAAGGAGTCTGCATAGATTTTAATTTTTGAACAGTAGCCATTATAATGTTCAGGATTCAAATTCATTTTCTTTGTTCAATATTTACAGTTTTTCCCACTAAAAAACTGAGTTGACTTTGAGAGATTGTCTGAAAGCCTAACTAGCTTAACAATTTAGTTTCTGCAAGTACCTCTGCAAAAATGCTATTTTCTACCTTCTTACAACAATACAGTACACAATAAAATCACTAAAGACAACACGGTTCTTCTTAAAGTAAGAATATATTAGGACTATTTTTTCCCCTTTTTCAGTGGTAGAAAGACACCAGAGCCACCAAATGATGTGCACTAGCTTTATCTACACCAATACGAATAATCTTTCGTTCAAGTGAACAGCAAACAGAAAAGATTCAGTTTTTACTGCTTCATCTTTATAATATACTAAGGTGGCCTTGATCTTACAATATTTTCCTTCCTCCCGACCCGTTAGAAGCATTTGCTTGCAGCTTCTCCACATTTCCTGGAGGATTGTGGAAATATTTTAAATTATTTAATTATACTTAATTATTCTGGAGGATTTTAGCTATTGGCTGGGAGATCCATAGGACAGATTACAACTTCCAACTGTGATATTGTCTTTCAGGTCCTAAATAGACTGTGAAAATGTTCCAGAAATAAAAATGTTGGAAAAAAACTGTTTTTGGAAAAATAACACCTTGCAGTTCACTTTAAAAACACAGAAACCCCCCCAATTCCCATTTTTAAAATCCCAATAGTAATGGGGCATAAAATGATGCGGTAGTTTATATTGCTTATCCAAGCAACATGCTGAAGGAAGCAGAAGACATGTGACAGCTAAGAAAAGAATAGCTGGGAATGAGGTGACCTTCAACACAAAGAAGTGACATGAAAATCTCTCACTGCTCCGCTCCACTCATTGAAAAGCGTATTCACTTTCTCTGACCCCATCCCAACAACTATTGTGCAGAAAGCTAAACAGGATACTACTAAACACAAGTATTTACAAAGACCTCCAGTGCCAGAGATATTGCCTGGGGGGTAGAGCTAATGCAGTTGATCTGTAGCCCTTTTGTGCCACATAGCCAATGCAAAGGGCTTAGAGGGCCAACTTAAATCAGGCCTTCTCTCTATTATATAAGGTTGATACATACTTATCTTCCCTGGAGGGTGTCGTGAGGATTAGTTGATGTTTTACAAACATCCTGACAATAAAAGTCCTAAGTAATCATGTTTACTTCCTCATTTGTGCACTAACATTACTACTATCAGCAGCAAGAACATGAAGAGTTATGGGGATACTATTGGATAACTAATTCTTCAGCTAATAGGAGACACTTATGCCTTTGTTGTTATTTGCCACATAAAATTAGGAGGTAGTTTTCTCTTAATTTCTCAATGAAATGGTGACGTTAATAATACTTTGCAGTTGCATGGTACTTTTTATCCAAGAATTGCAAAGAGCTTTATGAACATCGTTTAATAAAGTGTTACTATACACCTACTAACTAGCATTAGCAACATTTTACTTATAAGGTAACAGAGAAAGGTTACAGTTAACATTTCTGATAGTGGACACTTGTTCTGTGCCCCAAGTTCAGACAGCTAGGATTTGATTTTTAATTGTCCTGAACACCTGCAGCTCCCATTGATTAACATAAAAGTCATTGGTGCTCAGCTGGTAAATCCTGACTTGGGTATCCAAAAATGGACAGGTCCCAAACTAGTGGCCATTATTGGGAAATTGGAAACTGAACCCAACTTTCTTGACTGCCCGTCTTGGGCTTAAACTGCAAATCCATCCTTCTTTTTTAAAACACAGACATGTATATAAACGTGAAAGACATTCCCTATTAGAGTTACAAAAATCTGAAGGAAAAGTCTTGTTCTGAAACAAGTGTGTTCACCTTCAGATAAGACAAAAAAATTCTAGACATGTCATGTTCCCATGGGTTTAAGCTGGGAGAGTTAGCAAAGGAATCACACTGGCTAACATGAGAGTCAGAAACATAGATAATGCTGCATAAGGGCACTTAGCCCACAAACTACAAATCCTTATGAAAGTGTAAGGCAAAATTTATTGTGAACACAATAGTTCTATTAGAAAAAACTGTTTAAACCCTCCCCCCCTCCCCCCCCGATACTATAAGGCACATAATTATACAGAACATTTCAGTTTAAAGACCAATCTCATTATAAATTACAGTACCGGAGCAGGAGAAAAAGGAAATAATCTATCTGAACTTTAGCATATTGTAACTGAATAGCAAATAATGCATTTTTTTCAAATTAATGTCTGATGCAACCCAGGCTACAGCTTCTGGGGTTAGACTTGAATGTCAGTAATCAGTACACAGTGAATTTTCACAGCAGAGGACTAATCAACTGAAAAATAAAAGTTAGTAAATTAAAACCATGGCCCAATTTAATGATTATTGCTGAACAGTCACTTTCTCAAGAGTTTGTCAGGGACAATAATGAAAACCTTGAAATAAAACAAATACAATAAACCTACAACCATAAGAAATCAGCTTTGTAGGACATATTACTAGGTAGGTACAGTATTTGAAGATTATAAAGTAATATGATTATCTCTCTGCTTTGAAAGTTACTACTTCTTAGACGTAATCCTGTAGTATAGAGAGATCCTCAGTTCCTAGGTGTATTTTATAAGGACACTACGGTGCTTAATATTTTTTAATAAGAACACTATCAACTAAAACGTGAGCAACATTTAGAATTTTGGGAGAGAAATCATTTTTAAAAAAGCTCAGGTCCAACAGGTATATTTCCAATAATTTGTGTTAAACATCTTCCAATATAAACATTTTTTTTTAAACAAAAGCATCTTCCTCCAGTGTTGTCAATTCAAAGATTGCGGTGCTAAGAACTTCAAAGAGAAACTGACTATAAACAAAAGAGAAACTGACTTTGTTGATATTAATTGTTGAGTGGTAGTGGAATGTAAAAGATAACAGCATATAAATGGAAAAATAACTTGGATTTTTAGAATTATTTGAAATAATAATCAAATTTATAATAAATATGCTTACAATATGAATTATAAGTTGACAGCATCCTCTTAAACTCTCCATAGTTTTACTTCTCAGTAGTTTGAAGTAAGACTAATTTCCTTAACAATTCTCACCATTTGACAATATATTTCTAATTAATCTTAAAATCAGCATCCATTTTGTACACAGTATCATTGATGTTAGCAAAACTTTGAGAACTGTCTCCCGTGTTTACTACTACAAAGCCAGTATATGTGTTGGTCCTAGATGAGCTGTTTTCCACCAAAAATAGTCCAGCTATAGAGAAATAGACTGTCTTTAAAGGATATCCTGACTGCTATTCTGAGCTCTGAAATAGACAGAAAAGACCCAAATAGGTCTAATCTCTTTACTAGTTCAGAAATGTTCTCTGCAGTAGAACATTAGTGCTTTGTATAGTTCAGTTTTAAATATTCAAAGCCATGGCATTCCCCACTGGAAGATCATTCCACAGTCTAACAGACTCATAGATTCAGAGGCCAGAAGGGATCATTGTGGTCATCTAGTCTGATCTCCTGTATAACAGAGCCCATAGAACTTCCCCAAAGTAATTCCTAGAGCAGATCTTTTAGAAAAAATAATCCAATTTTGATCTACAAATTGTCAGTGACAGAAAATCCACCATAACCCTTGGTAAATTATTTCAATGGTTAATGACTAATTGTTAAACATTTATACCTTATTTCCAGTCTCACCTTACTGTCTGGGAATGTTCCCTGATATGTCCCACCAGATTATAAAACAGGTTTAAGAAAAAGTTACTTGACAACATCTCTCTAATGCCAGTAACACAGCATAAAATTTTTGGTTTCTTGGGGCCATATTTCTCACAGCATTACAGGCAGCCTATCGTGGAATCATTATCAGTCCTTTTACTAAGGCACTGCCTGATTTTGCTATCTGTGGTCCCAATCCTGCAAGCATTTATGGATGTTCTGAACATTAAGCATGTGAATAATCCCACTGAAGTTACTGGGCCTTGCTAGGTACTCAGAGTAAAGCATATATGCCTAAGTGTTTGCAAGATCAAGGCCTACAACTGCACCTGGTAGGTAAGCAATCATGCAGTGTGCAATGGTGTGAACACAATGGCTTGTAGAGAGAGCAAATGATCAGCCAATGTGTGTATATATTTCAAACTGCTAGTGGCTCCTGTAGATGTTGTTTTCCAAAAAACAAAAACAACAACAACAAAAAACAACCCAGAAAAAAAATCATTGATACCTAAGATTTCAAATGGACACTATCAGGTTAAAACAATGTAACAGAACAACTTTCCTTATTTTAGAAACATCATTGGTAACTTGTAACAAAGAGAAAGTTAGAATTTTGAAAATGTAAGTTTATTTTTCACTGTTTTACTTTTGGCATTACCCTTCCATTGAAAAATAGTAAAAGACTAATCAGTTTCTAATCAATTTCACCTCTCTTTTCTCATGTACAAGCTCAGGGCTACAGTAGGCAGCTGAAAATGTTTATTTTAAAAATTGCCTACATTAGATTAAAAACACACAGGGAAATATTTCTATCAAGTTTTCTTTTAGCCGAAAACCTACATTCAAGTTGAGTACACAGCCTAAATTTTTGCCCTGACACCATCCCCCTGAAAGAGAGAAAATTTTGAAAGAAACACTTAACTGAAATTCAACCAGCAGGTTCTGATTTCTGTTCTAAACAAATATCAAAGTTAACGGAAAGTATAAAAATAAATCAGACGCTTCAAACCCATTCCAACAGGTGCCTGTTGGGGCATGGGGCATCAGACATTTAGACTACATCTTGTGGGTTTCCCTGTGGGGGTGCGAGTGTAGGAGGGGGTTGTGTAGTCCGGTGGGTCCCCAGTCTCAGATGGGGGGGGGGCTCTGTGTGTGCAGAAAGGGGGGGTTTCAAACCCAGGATAGGGGGGTTGTGTGGGCATGATCCCAAATCCGGATCGTGGGGCGGGTCTGAGGCGGACAGTGCATCTGTGGGGCGGATGCACAGGCCCAGCTCAGGACCCCGCAGGGGGGACGCACAACCTGGGGTGCATATGGAGGGGCGGGAGTGGGTGCCCGGCGCGGGCTGTCCCTAGGCGGGGCGGGGAGGCCCATGACCTTGCGGGAGACCCCGGGCTAGGAACTCCCACTCGGGACTGCTCCTCTCCAGCCCCGCCGGGGGGCTCCTGCCCCCCGTCCCGCAGCCCGCCCCCCCCAGCCAGGGGGGCGCCATTTACAGTCCGGAAGGAGTCAGCGAGGGGCACCCAGGGGGACGGGACTCCCCGCGCCGCACTGCAGGCCCAGGGTCCCTCCTGGAGGAGCGCCGTGCTCACCTGAGGGCCAGGCTGCCGCGGGCCGGGAGGCGAGGCCCTGCTCTGCCCAGCCCGCCGGCTCCCCCCAGGCTCCGCCGCAGCAGCACTCGGGTCGCCATCTTGCTCTGGCCTCCTCCGCCCAAGCTCGCCCGGGCCCGGGAGGACGACTCGGGCCTGCAGTACCCGCTGGCGGCCACTGGGGGGCAGCGGGGCTTGCGCAGGCCCCAGAGCAGATGAAGGGGGGCGTGGCGCTCTGAGGGAAGGGGTCAAGAGGGACAGCCCCCCCACCCCTTCTCTGCATCCCCCCTCCAGACCCTACTCTTTAACCCCTTGGCTGCTGGGCTTGGTATCCGTGGCCCTACAACTCCCGAACACATCCCATGAAGCCAGGCACCTGCAGCATCAGTCTAAGGGGATGGAGGGGATTTTAGGGTGGAGGCCCTTTTGCCCCCATGCAAATCTGTTAAAGCCTATTTTAACCCACTCAGTATAAGGCCCTTGCAGCTCATGCCAGTGCCTTTCCTCCTCCATTGTTGTCTCTCTCTGGCAGGGGAATAATTCTGCATCTCATCCACACTTCAGAGAAGAAACATTTATTATCTCTGTAAGGAGACCAGGGTGCTGGAGCCAGCTCTGCCATTGGCTTCTAGCCTCAGAAACAAGCCCTTTCATCTTTCCCTGCCAGTTTCCTCCTCTGTAAAATAAGGATAATACTTTGCACATGCTTAACTTTACTACTGTGAAGAGTCCCGAGGGTGCATAAGTGTTAGCAGGCTTGGGGGCCTAAGGTATTACTTGCTAACCCTTGCCACTGTGGTTTCCACTCTACAAGACAAAAAAACCAGCCATGTGCAGAAGTCCTAGCTCTGAAGAGCTAACAGTCTAATCGTTGGCTGCTCTTTACACTGTTGTTCCTTTCATGAAATGTGTGATAGACGCACAAGTATTTTGTGTTCAGGATTAGCTGTAGCTTCTTACCCCTCCAACAAGTTATTAGACATTAGAATGCTCTTTTTCCTGTCGACCTCCCATTGGAATCCTGCAGGAGCAGATATTAACACACACACTTGTTCCAGTAATACACTGAAGTAATAGGAAAAACTCAGTCTTTTTCAGTTATCACAACACTATGTTTCATTTGTCACTCATAATTACAATTTCATTTTTTTGCTGGAGGAAAGAACCAAAACTGGAAAATACCTTCACACCGGAGATATGGCATCTGTATACCACAGTGCTGAGAGCACACTACATAGGCAAGGTGTATTTTCACATACATACCAGACAAGCAAGGCTGTACTAACAGGGTTAAAGTAAATGCAGGGATGCTGAAAGAGGTCAGCGTAACAGCCCTGGAAACCATTATACTATTATCGTCAGCCCAACCAGCAGCAGTGCAAAACTCCTCTGAGCTACTGTGTGAATGTGCCTCAATCTTGACTCAGAAAACAAACCACTTTTGATGAGCACAGTGGATAAATTACAGATGCTCTAGCTCAAGGTCCTGCAAAATACATGAATAAAGATGTAAGCATCCCAGACTCCCACTTTCTACATTAAATACAGAACTGATTTTTGACATAACTTTAACAATGTAAGATCTTCACCCCCACCCAAACTAAAAATATTTTCCTTCTCCCATCTCTTACTCTAGGCTTAGGCATTAATTTAACAAGCATAAAAAATTCAGACTTTTTTTAAAAAACGAGGACTGTAAAATATACTATATATTATCAACTTTTAAAGTAGTAGTTGAATTTTGGGACTGCTGCTATTTATTCATTAAGGTACACAGGCACGCATGGCCAGAAAAGTTACAGTAAATAGGTATTTTAAAAGAACTTGTGACAGTTGTGAATAAGTAATTCTCTCTCCATGACATTTCCTTCCCTAGGCTCTCTGCTGACAGGGACTTCAATGAAAGTCCTATGAATTCACCGAACAAGTACATTTCCACACCACATGCTTTCAGCTAGCAAGAGTGTCAATTAGATCTTTGTTAAAAGTACTTTGTGTAGAAAAACAAATCCCCTAGTGACTAAAAATTAAGCCTATCAGAGCAACATACTGCACTAACAAAAGCTTTGCCCAGCCAATTGGTTTGTGGTGGTGAGCACAGAGAGGATATAAATTCTGTTAACACCATAAATGTCCAGTAGTGTGAAAGGGTTTGACTTGTTCAACAGAAAATGAGTTCAAGTACGGTTTATAATAGTTAATTTTACAAGTTTTGGTTTAAAAAACAAATAAAGTTCACTTGGCCAGTTACTTTAAGATTTGATATTAGCACATACTGCATGGAGACCTGTACAAACTTGCATATACAATGTCCTTCAATATTAGTGAAGTCTGATGTTGCATCTTACATCATTGATAGCCACTGACTTAAGACTTCCCATTTACAATTTTTTAAAATTAGCATACCTCCAATTTTTCTCAGGTATGTATCATATTTTGATTTAAGCAGAATGAATGGGTATGTTAAATCTCCAGCAAACAGCTTGAAGCATTTTTCACAATTCATCGCCAGTCTGAGAAACATGAATTCCATTCCCTCTTTACATATTTTTCTCCCGCAATATTTGAAGAAAAAAAAATCCAATCACTCTAGTGCTATATAGCTGCTAGTGCAGAACAGTGGGCACACGGATAATGAATGAGTTGATGAGCAAAGCATGGTTTTCGGCAACCGCTGAACAGATTTGCAAGCACCAGAGCCTAAGCCTTTAGTGTAGCATTTCCCACAGCATAATGCAAGCACCCCCGGGGGAGGAAAGCGTATAAATTAAAACAGGTAGAGCTTTAACCACACATAGTAGACTGGAAGGGAGCACAACTGATTTCATATTCCTGAAGAGGGGCTCAGTTTCCAAAATCTTGCTTTATCAGTAGCACCTCATCCACAGAGATGGATTCTCTGGAAGTTTAGGCTGCAATCCTAACCCTGCAAAGTGATGGATGCAGGCACATCTATACACCCATTTGAAGAGTCAGTGAGTGAACATTCCTTCCCCCAGCTCTGGGCCTGGCCCCCTGTGCAGGTGCACCATATATGTTCTTCTGCTGTCCCCCGCAAACCTTGTATTTTGGGGGTGGGAGAGGATGTCTCGGTAGATTTGACTGCTGAACAACCCACAGTCCCTGGAACAGCTCTAATTTATGGAAAGGGGTGCAATAGTGTCAACAGGCTCAGAATCCCAGCAGCATCAAGTCAACTGTAATCCTGAATTGCCCTGGACTATTTGTTCTTTGTTACAACTTTTAGAGACTCGATCCCTGCATCTCTGCAGGATTTGGGGCCTTAATTAGATTTTCTTATTAAGAGATAAGACTTTTGGCATCTTTACTTCCACTCTTTTGTATTACATTTATGGGATTTTTCTAATACTCCTCTTTTGTAACTTTTCTAGTTGCAGCACAATAGTTAGGTTAAAACAGATACATCCCTCCCCTATATCTGTGCTGGATACACATCTACTTTTCCTTTGTTTTACAAGCTATTTGAATCATGAAGAACCCACTTTTCTTCCTCAGATATGGATTTTACCCCTACCTATTGGTTAAGAACCTCTCTCATGAAAGTCAATAGCAAAACTCTCATTGACTTCCCATTCCCCTTTGACTTCAATAGGTGCTGGATTATGTCCCTTCACTTTGTCAAGCTATACCACTGTTTCATTGTAGCCTTTTATCAATTTCACCTTTCCTTTAGTATGTCTTGTGATAAAGCAGAGAAAATTTGTAACAGTAAGCAATTAAAATGAGGTGGTTTAAATGCACATGATTCTATTACTCATTTTATACAGAAGGTTTATGAAATGTTATAACAGGCTTACTGCTACAGTGTGGCATTACTACTAATAAAATGAAATAACATATATAAACATATGAGTATAGGATTTCTACAATATTTTAAAAAAGTTTTAATTGTGTTACTTTAAATATAAGGCTACAAAACTCAACAGATTCAGTTCCAGGGTTCAGACAATACAACATGGGAAAAACATCCTCCCCTGAATATTAAACTATATATAGATTTATTCTCTTAAACATCTTAATAAAGAAGAACCATTCTTAATTTTGTGACTGAGGTGGTAATTTTGACATTCTTGCTAAAGATAGGGCAAAACTGTGTGTTAAGAAAATAAAACATTGAGAACACAGCTTAACTGTGATTTAATTCCCCCCCCCACATTATTTCTAATTGATAAATTCCCCAATTTTAAAATATCTCTGTCATTTTGGTGTTGGAAGTAATTCAGTTTATTATTTATTGTTACTAACAATAGAAAGATTTTACAACCTAAGACAATGGACACAACCAATCCCTCATGTAAAGATGAGAGGTAAAGCCCTCGGTTTATTGGCCTCTTCCCACCCTTTATTTCTCTGTTGAGGAAACATTTAGTTCTTGGAGCTTTTCACTTAGATAGGTGGTGTCTGCCTCAGTTAGACTTTCTGAGTCTGTTAGACTTTCCAGGAACCTGGTTCCTGCGCAGGCCTTTCCAGTCACTGGGTCTATGACATTTCCAACCTTGAAAACAATCTCAGCCAGTTCATGTTTCACATTTTTGGTCCTCCGCTCAGGCAAAGCTTTTAGAAGAACAATGTCTCCGACGGCACAACTCTGCAATGGATCATGAGCGAAATAAGTTTTTCGCTTGTTAAAGAACTGTTGGAGAGAAGGAGAAAAGGAAATCCAGGCATTAGGACTCAAAACTAAAAGATGACCAGTAAACTTATGTTCAAAAGCAAAATGAATTGGAAGTTTCGTTATCAGGCTGATTATGCAGGTATGCATAACTAACTGGGTTTTTGGCCAAGCAAAGCCACTGATAGATGCATATGGTATAACAGTAGAACTGGGCAAATGTAACATTTGCTCTTCTTCACCCAGGATAGGTCTTTTGCCCTAGGTAGTGTCACTATTCACCAGTCCCTGACTCATCGACTCCATTCTTGACCGCTAGTTACCTCTGGTTTATCATCTCAGTCCCTCCCATGCTTAAGAGGCACCAGAACGACAGTGCATCACATTCAGCAAAAAGGGTTGTCAAGGCTCTTCCAAGCCTAATAATAATTTGCATAAACTGCAGAGGGGAAGAGGTCAGGAAACTATATAATTCTCATCCTTCTCAATTCACCCAAGTCCCTATCACTGTGGTATTAGTGTTGCACCAATATCTCCCATATGAGCACATTTTAGTCCAGTTTTAGTAACTTTTATTGTCTGGGGAAAATATCAGGATTCAGACTATATCCTTTGAGAAGATTATGTAAATTATGATTGAAAAGTTGTGGAAAATGCACACTAAAAACAGAAAAGA